GACGTGACAGTGTAGAAGTCCAAATTCACAAGTGTCAATGGTTGTGGGAGCTTGTGTCAGTGTGTGTACCAATTTCCAATAGAGTTTCGCAATAGATCTTCAAGGGTCAGCTGATCGATTCCTTTCGGAGCTTGTGGTGGTAACAGTGTCGACTACCGCTAGCAGGTGTCTGGTGAATGGTGTTGGTGATTATTTTAGGGTTTCTGGCAATCTTTTTTCATATGAGCTTGGGGCTTGTTGATTTTAATGATTTTATCTATTTACTTATTCAAATTCAAATTCAAATAAAACTGTGAAGAAAATGTTTCACTGCAGCCTACGTAGCTGTCGTGCAGCGTGTATGCATGAATTTCTGAGTTTAATCTTATCGTTTGTTTTTTTGTTGTAATCAAGCACAACTTTGTGCTTATAAATATAATCGTGCAAATAAATGAAAATTATCCTTTTTTCCTCTCCAAAAATCATCATCTTTCTGCAATATGAAAAACAGAGGCTTTTGCAGCCTTATACCCTGTTTTGATGTCCTCTCTTTCTCTCCTCGATTCTCTCTCTCTAAATTTGCTCATCATATTAGCTTCCTTTGAAGCTGTAACTCATCCGATCCAACAACTGGTATTAGAGTCAGGTTCTCCTAGGTGACCTGTGAATCAAAAAGCTCCTCAAACCCGATGGCTACCTCAGGAACTACCCCTGCTCCGCAATTCAACAAAGAAAATTACCATGTGTGAGCAATAAAGATGCGAGCTCACCTCAAAGCTCTGGGTTTGTGGGATGTTATCATAGATGACAGTGACCCAACCCCACTACGAGACACTGCCACCTTGAACCAGATTAAAAGACACGAGGAAGAGAAGGCCAAGAAATCAAAAACAATTGCCTGCCTCTTCTCGGCTGTTTCGGACAGGGTATTCTCTAGGATTATGAACTATGAATCACCCAACTGAAGGAAGAGTTTGATGGAGGAGACAGAAGCAGGAAGATCAAACTACTGAGGCTGAAAAGCGAGTTTGCATTACTCAGAATGCAAGAAAATGAGTACGTTAGGGACTATGCCT